CCAAATAGCTCAGCGGAGATGATCGACGAGATTTGCAATGCACATTCCACATTTGAATGAAAGTCGAGGTGATCGAAGGACAGTTGTCAAGGGATATTGGGGAGCATCTCTGTTGGATATGATTGCAAATTTTTATTTTACTGATAAAACGTTCTCACTGTGCTTCACACAGTCGTCCCCAGCGGTGTTAATGCAGCCTGCACCAAACTGGGTTGAATTAGCATGTGAATGGCATCTTTAGTCGGTGAGGAACACTTCGTTCTGACAAAAATCTAATGGACCTTTCTTTGTCAGTTCCTCAAAACCGGATTAGAACAATGACATTAACTACTGATGAGTTTCTTCCCACATGGTGACGATCCTGCGGTTGTAAGGCTGGAAGACGAGGCCGTGTGAGAAACAAACCACTGGGGTGCCAGGCATAGACGGAACGAAGGCAATCGCATTCAGTCACCTCTTCCCGGGGACAATCCTCTTACAACACTTCCCCCTCAACTCTAAAGCTATCTGCCTATCAATGGAACAATAGGTTGATTAGAAATACTGAATGGATTGGTGACTGGAAATTCATTACTGACAATAGGTTGGCTTCATTTTTAAAGGTTGTCTAGAGAATAATTTACTGGTCTATCCATCCTTGTATTAATTGAAAGGTTTGTGGAAGTTGATCAAATTGGAAAAGATGTCCTGTCGGTATTAACGGTATATAGTATAAGGTGATTAATGGTGATTACAGATGTTATCCAACTATAGAACCTAGGGATTCTCTATACCACTTTTTCAGACCAATTCCAGCACAAGAATTCAACTGCAGTAGTCACCGATACCAAGTACAGATACTATTGCTACTTTTGATATATTAAATGTCCACATAAACAATAACAGGGATCATTTATATGCGTACATATCCCAATGTAGCCCTTTTCCTTAAAATCGCATGCAGTTAATGGCAATGTTCTTTTTTCAATGTTCATTTGTTCATAAAATACATATTTTGTATCGAACACATAATGAAATTCATTTAAATAAATGAAATGAAACCGCTTATCCTGACAATGGTTTCAGGTTAATATCCGTATATCTCCAGAAATTGCATCTTAAAAGGCATCTGTTGGACACGCATGCCTTCAGTTCCTAATCGTAAAACAGCCACATAAGGGCAGCTGATACTGGTATCGGCCCTTCTTGGAAGTACCGATACCTTGAAATAAGGCCAGGTACCGGTCCAATACCAACTACTGGAATCCCTACTCTCCCATCCAAAAAGTCCCTATGTCATTGAGAAGTGAAGGATTCTAAGTTTGTGCAGACGTACTCATATATATTTTTTTTTAATCAGAGTTCGTTCAATGCTCCAAACAGTTGTGAAGACTTGCAAAGACATTTGCCAGACATTGCAAAACAGTTTTAATAGCTGCAAACTCTTTATCTTGTCGCCAAATTTTGAACATGTTAAAAATTTATTTGAAACAAGAAAAAATGTTTGAGACCATTAATATTGTTGGCGAACATCTTTGCGACTGTTTGCGACCTTTAACGAACCCTGATGGAACAAAACAACATTCGCTAAGCACGCACACATTTGCAGGCCTGCACCGCTTCGTGAGATTCGGCGTGAATAGAACGCCACTACTGGCTTTAAGACAATGGCAGCCAATGTCTCACTCCACTTTATTGTTCGGCCCCATGAGCCTTTGCATGAATTATGGGTGCAACTTCAGTCATGAATTGGAACTGCCTTTTTGTTTACATGGTAACTGGTTGCGCAAGTCCACTTTGAATGACAGACTCAATAAGTTTGTATCTAATTGAGTAGCGCAGGTTTGCGAACGACAACGCATTTTTAGCTACTTTCATAACTCTGACGCTTCAGACAATGAGACAACAAGCAATTACAAAAGCTCTGAGCCATATTAAATACCTACACATTAATAAATTTGGTCTTATTTATCTTAAAGCACACGTAGGACCGAGCCAAGCCTTTTATCTTTTTTATCTTAACACCACTGCATGGTAACGTAACCACATCACCTATGTGCTCCAGAAAACAAACAAAAACCTGCTACATAATAACGGCAATAACATCCGATGAGGATTGAGATTAAAATCATGAAACGCTGACCAATTCATTCTGCTATGTTTTGCAAACAATCACAAGAGCAGCACCGGGAAAAACGTGACTGCTCCGAAGAACTTGGACCATCCCAAATGTCTGAAGAATCTTGATGCGGTCTTGTAAATACTGACCCTTAAAAATTGACAGCCATTGTAAAACCTCAGTCTGAGACGAGGCTGTGACTAAAAACCCTATAAATTGTCTTTAAATGTGAACAGGTGTGAGAGATAGTTTTGCAAGGGTCTTTTCAAAAATCTTCTCAAAGTCTTCTGATGTACAGGTAGCTTTAGAAAATGTGGGCTGGGAACCAATCCTATTCTTTTTCCAAGCACAAACGATTCAAAAAGTAAAGAATACTTGCCATGTCTGTCACCTCTGTAAAAAGCTAATTACCTCTTTGGCACTTTGATGTTAGTTGAAAAACAGGAAAGAGATATCCACACCTTTGCTCACGTTGGATGCAAATTCCCTTATGTGTATCAACCCATATTTCACCATGTCATACATTACTGCATTAGTGGCTTGAGGCAAACCAGTCTAGTCAGATGGTGTAAATATTAGGTCAGTGGGTTTAAGGGATGGAGGCGCGCGATCAAAGTAGACAACTTGATAATTTACTTTGGCTCATTTCATCCACGATAAAAACAATAAATAAATTGTTAATATTTGAGTGCACTCTGAAGAACTTCCAGTTCATCCAGATACTTTGTCACATGTTCAAGCACAGTTTGAGATTGTTAAAATACTGGTTAAACGCCAGCCGCCAGACTGCAGCTGTGCAGTTTTGAATGTTTGGAATGCCTTGACAAAATTTGGCAGCCTTACTTTCAGTTACAACAAACCAACCAAGGGAGATGGAAAAGAAGTTATATGTTTGGTAAAATGAGTAACTCTTAAGCAGCTTTACAACCTTTGGGTGGTGCCAACCCTTCTCAGCTGAAGCTTCGGCCATGTGGCTCCTAAATTTGGAAAATGAAAGGGATGGAAGTGAGAAGCACCACTTGTGATTTTTTTTTTTTCAACCCGACCCTTAAATTTGTACTTGAAATTTTTTTGATAAGATTTTGCCATACTGTTTATTGATGAGTTAATAAAACTTTATCACATCCTAATGGGTAACACGTGACACACTGATCACATGCACAACACCTCTGGTCCAGCTAAAAGATCAGAGCTTGTGGTGCTTTAGGGCATCACGAGTCTGCAAGACAAAAGACGACAGTGTTTGGATTGAAAGAACCAATTGCCCTTTCACTGGCAATAAACATCCACCAGCCACTGCTTGATCTCCCCCAACAATGCAAGTGATTAACAACTGCTTCAATACACAAAGAACTTCCCTGTCCCTTTACGAAAAAAAAAACAACCTGAGATAAATGCATGCAGTATTCCTGTGGGTTAAATTTTACGCGGAGCAACAACTAAAGGCTGTTTAGACGAGACAGTTTTCGCTGCAAACTGATCCAAACTGCTGGTCTTGTCTCTTTCGTGCTTTGGAACCTGCAATAAACTACAGCAGTACAATTTCCATGTAAAGACGCATGTAAAAGGTGTCCGTCACATTTAATACATACAGAAAAGGAGGAAGACAGAAGTTTAACAATGTTTGCGCTTGTTATCCACAATGATATACAGGTACATAGTTCATAACCTGAACGACTGTTTCGAAACATTTTATTTCACCCGTATTTGAACACATTGTACACAATAAAAGGAGCAAATGTTATGGAGGAATAATTAATTTTGTTGAAAGGACTAAAACAAGACAATCCCTCTTGCTTGAGCTGACCATGACACATTGGCTGCCTATTTTCTTACAAACCTGCACACATTGGTGTGGCTCTGCTAAATGTCATTTTATGTATGTTAAGGTGAAACAAAATACTCCTGTAGTCTTTTCACCTTATTTGACCTGATTTGTCATGGCCTGAAAATTCGGTTGATATGACCGATAGACAACCGCTGAGTCTGATTTTCAGGGAGACTGCGAGCAATGGGGTCTGTGTCGACTAATCCCACCATGCATGCGTGTCCTGGCTCGGCTTTTTTCACTGAAACGAACCCCCTCCCCACAATCCTTTTGAGCTACCAACCATTGATGCAAACTGGTTTCAAGGTGACCAAAATCAACAATGTGTCATGGTATAATCTGGGAAATTAAGGCACTTTAGTCTGTTTTTTTTTAAACTACAAGCCGAAATAAATCTCCTTACAAGTCTCATTCGTCATTCAGTACACACTACCAAAAGGGAGTATGGAATATTTTCCACCCATACTTCACATACCATTTGACATGTCTAAGCGCACATAGCTTTGCAGTGACTGGACCCAGGTAGAAAGAGCCATTCGCACTTGATGGCAAACATGCTACTGGCCTCTAAAAGTTTGTGTAAGACAAGTGAAAGACCTTTAAAAGTGCTCCACAACACGCGAGTGCGATTTTTCAATGCTGATTTTAAACGCCAAAGCCGGTTGACTGTAAATAAGCAACGACTGCACATTAGTGTTTTTGTTTTGTTTTTGTTTTTTTTTCTGGAGGAGTGGGGGGGGGTCAAAGATGAAGTTTGTTGCCCGGTGTGACAGAGTGCCCAGTGTGTTGCCCGCAAATTGAGATTGTCAGTCACTAGTTTGTTTACAGACTCCAGCTAACTTTCTGCTACTGATGCACAAATAAACAGCAACGTTTACCAATGCGCATAGAAGAAAGTGCTGTACAACTTCATTGACAAGTGAAATGCTATGCGCTGACGTTGTTGAGCACTGTTGTCACAGTTTCTACGAAACTAACAGGTACCGACTAAACATGTAAAGGTTAACGTTGGGAACCTTTCTGACAAATACGTGGTTAAATTAATATAACAAGGCGAAAGTGTATCGGGCTTACCTTTCATCCATTCTACAACTTGCTTTGGCGTCCACTTCGTTATCGGTTCCATGGCTTCTTCAGTAGCGTATACGTGCAAAAATATTTTGGCGAAGCTAATTGAGAAAGAGCTAAGTGTCCGCTTTGCTGTCGCATCCGTATAATAACTTTGTTTTCATTATTTTAAAGTGCGTCTCTTCATTTGTCAAGCAATTCGCACGACGCGACGAGGAGCAGGGCTGAAATCCCCCACATTACAACTCTTCAACAGCCACTGCGCGTGTGGGACCTATGCCCTCTTCAAAGACAGTTCGGAAAAATATCACGTACAACGTGACCCATGTGCAGTTTTACAGACTTTCGCTTGTATAACTAATAATAATAATAATAATAATAAGTAGTAAAATAGTTTGCATGAAAACCCGATCTCCTTATGTAATTGGTATTTTTGAACAAACGACAAGTTTTTTTTTTAATTTAGATAAAGTACAGTGTTTGAAATTGAATCGGCCAAATTTTCGAGGTACCCAAATGCATCATTATGACGTATGGAGTATTCAATCACCGGTCTTATTTGAAACTGGACGCGCCTCAACTCAACTCAACTGATCAATTCATTCTTTTTTATATATTCTCTTGGCCAATTTATGAAATTATTCACCACGTTTTATTTTGTCTAATTCTAATGATCTTACTAAGCGGTGTTATTCTACAAGTGTAAAATATGTACAGTATGTTTCTCAACATCAGTGTACATAATGGTGCATTCTAATATTGAGAAAGTGACTATTTCTATATTAAGTTGTCACTAGAATTTCGTTTATCCAAAATACCATCTACACTGGAGCGCTGTCAGAATAATGGAAGTAGTTCACTACTTCCCTCTGCTGGTAGTCAACCAGGTTCGCAACCAAAAACGATATGACTACAGAAAAGTAATTTTGACAATTGATATTTTGATTGATTGATTGAGGCCTTAAAAACTTTTTTAACTTGACAAAATGTAATACAAAATTCGCTCAATCCAGTTTACATTTCTCACACACACTTTGTAACAGCTCTTAACAATATGTAAAAATAAAATATGCAAAAAAAAAAAAAAAGAATAATTAACTCTGCAAACAATTACGCTTTAAATATTTCGGAATGGATATCAACTAACAGTATACATTTCTGATCTGTTACTATATCAAGAGGTCATTTATCATTTTTTTCATCAAAATTGATTTAAAATAAATGGAGTTGATGATAGAAATTTACACGAAAAGATGTGGAATTTTCCAAAGTTTATCTTTGATTGATATGAGAGAGGTGGAAAAGTAAAAAAAGTCTTTATCTATGAAAATACAAAAGAACTAATCATCACAAGGATTACGGGAGGTGCAGGAGCCTATCCTAGTTGTCTTCGGGCAGTAGGCGGGGGACACCCTGAACAGGTTGCCAGCCAATCGCAGGGCACACAGAAGAAAAACCAGCGCACACTTTCACCTAGAGAAAATGTACAGTGTTCATTCAGCGTGCCATGCATGTTTTTGGAATGTGGGAGGAAACAGAAGTACCCAGAGAAAACCCACGCAGGCATGGGGAGAACATGCAAACTCCACACAGGAGGCCCAGAGCGGGAATCAAACACACGACCTCTGCACTGTGAGGTTGACGCGCTAACCAGTTGTCCACTGGGCCGGCCGATGTTGTTTTAATAACCTATAAAAACTATCGTGCTAGACTGCAACAAGACATAGTAATGTATAATGTAATAATGGCAGTAAGCGTAGCAAAGACAAACGCTCGTTTTTTGTGGGAGGTGGGCTGGATTGAAGGCATTTGAACAGAGTGGATTTCAGGCAAGGGCCACTCTGAGAGAATTAAGGAACTGTTGTAGTTGTGATCTTTGTGAAAGAAAGGAAAAATCTGAGCACCACAAAACCAGAAGTATGATAAGTACAGTGTTTGCTTTTGACCCTGGAAAATATGAATTTGACTACTGCAAAGTTCCCTCACACTAAAGGCCACTGGAAGACTAAGATGAGACAACTTTGCATGAACTTCCTTGTATTGTGATGCAACATTTATTTCTGACTCATGGTACAGACAGTACACTTCTGGCATTGCCCCTTATCAAATCAGATTAAAATTAATAATCACAAAAATAAATAAAGGTAGGCAAATGAAGTACAACAGCACAGGATGTTATTCATTTTGCTATCTTAGAAGACAGCATATGAAAGGCTAAAGATGTTGCAATATATACACTGTAAATCTTCATCATCCCCATGAATGATTTATTCTATGAACATTGAACCGATTAACTGTAGAAGACAGAATGTCACATAACCTGTAGTTAAAATACACCATCTGGCACACATATCACAAGATAAAACTCCACTCAAGTTTATATGTGTTCTTGTGTAGCTTCATCACACAACTCATCATGTAATTTGTGCTGTACGATACTAAATGGTACTTTAATTTAAATTGAACCTGAGCCTCAAATCCAGCGTATATAGATTTGCTTCCACAATATGAGGCATCATCACAAAAAAATCATGACTCCTTTGATATTAGGCTCAAGCAGAGAACGTTGCAGAGCAAGTTGTTGCACATGTCACATTTCATAAGCACTCGTGAGCTGATTTATCGAGATTAGTCAACAAAATGCATCTGTTTCTGTAGTCAGGGTTTAAAGTTCAACCTTGCATCTCAAATAATAGGTTCACATATGTGCAATATTTAAAAATGACGTACAATGATAAAATTACATGTTTGTCATTGCATTTATAGTATTGGCAGGTGGGGCATTTAGGTACTCCAGGACAAAGATCTGTAAAATCTTGTTGAGGTTATCAATGGTGGAGCGGTCCAGGTTCTGCTCATTGTCATCAAATGTGTGCCACACATTGGGGAAGGGGGAGGGAATAAGGTGGAGGATGCGGACACCTGATAAAGAAGCAAAGGTTATGAGGGTTACCCATCAGACATCAGCCATATGAGCCAACATATTCGAGCATAGCCCATCATCTGGGGTATATACCTCTTGTCAGGAATGGTACATGATCATCTTCAACACGGCCGACAATTCGATCTGGCCAGAAATATTCCATTTCGTCAGGATGATTTTCAAGTAGATTCAGAGAGTGGAGACGTTTTTCTGTCCATGAACAGTAAAATGCAACATTGTTACATCATTTTCTGATTCTGACAATGGACTGTAAAATGAGATGATGGTTGCGAGGTGAAAGCAGCGATATTAGTCATGGCATTACAATTGCAACTGACAATTTCAGATCTTGTTTCAATCAGGGAATTGAATTCCTAAAACATGAAAAAGGATACTTTTTTTGGTCTGTGTGTCTGTACCTAAATTTGAAATGAAATTGTTTTGTTGATATGTTGTTAAACGTATTGTACTACATTGGGTTTTAGTCGTTCATTTTGGACTTGTTTTCCTTGTCTTAGCAGTATTGTGAATTTCGTAGGGCAACTAGTTGTCAGTGCATCTGGGTTACAACAACTACTACTACTACTATTTCTACAACCACTACTAGTAGTAGGGCTCATTAGGGTCACCTATCCCAGCTGACTTTTGGCGAGAGGCAGGGTACAGTACACCCTAAAATGGTCGCCAGTCAATCGCATGACACATCCAGACAAACAATCATTTACATTCCAGTTCACACATACAGCCAAGTCTGAATTTTCCAAGAGGCGGAACAATGAATGGATAAATTGGCAACGCACCAATTATCAAACTATTCAATAATTATTTTTGGTAATCAATTAATCGTTTAGTTACCCTTTTTAGTTAAAATTGTCCAATAGCTTGGAATTTCATCTTCTCAACAGTAAATATCTGAATTATGTCGTCCTTCATGAAAGTAGACTGTTTGTCTACATGTTGAACCAAAACAAAACATTTGTTTTTTTACTTTGGAAAACAATGATTGACATTTGTGCTTATTTTCTGACATATTACGTACGGGCAAACTATTAACTGTATTATAACAAATTTATATTTGTACACTTTTTGACACAATTTGAAAGAATGTCCTCTTTTTGAAAAAATAAAAATCATCAAATAATCAACAAAATAATCTACAGATTAATCAATTATTTAAAATAATTGATAGTCGCAGCCCTAGAATCCTAAATTATCCTGCGATCAATTCCGTAATAGTTTAAGTGTGTCTATGTGTTTTTACGTTGTTCAGGAATAGTTGCAATAATTGTGATAAATGTGACGACAGCAAAGTTTCTCGCAGGTCTCAGACCGGCTGAACCAGTTTTGGTGATGTCATGGTCCTGTTTCACCTTGGCCATGTTTATCTGCATTCCTCTCCCTTTCTGCTTTGCTGGAGCGTGACAGGAGGTGGGCCCGAATTCGGAGGCGGAGACTCGTCCCCTCACCTGATCCACATCAGCCTGAGTAGATGGCAGCCTATTTAGCCAGCTTCTCCCCTTGTTCTTTGCTTGAAGATCCTTGACCTCCATATTGTGTCCTGCCATGTTGCTGCCGTTTTCCTCCTGCCACGTGTTCCAAACTCTACAGTCACCTGGTGATCTCGTCAATATTTGAGTCTTTCCCTGAATAAGGTGCTTTTCATTTGCTACTTTGTTTTCTTGAATATATGAGTTTTATTTTTGAAGATAGTAATTTTGTGTTTCTCTGCTTCCTGGGTCCGAGCCCTTTTGTTTGCCTCACGGCACATAACACTTGGACTTAACTCATTCAAACTATGTATTGTGTATTGCTGGATGTTAGAAGAACCCCAAAACAGGGAAATGTGCTATTATCAATCACCTATGTTCTGCAACCGGGAGAGCCAGTACGTTGTGGCTGGGAAGTGGTTGCCGAATCGTGGACTTGGGCCCCCAATCAGGTCCATCAACACAAACAGATCCTGGAGGAGATGCAACACACGTACTTAATTCCTGTCCTTGAAGCAAACGCTCTCTGACTGTACACAGCGTACTTTGTGGCGACAAATGCATGCACAGATATGAACAGGCTATACACTGCTGTTCAAAAATCAGGTTATTGAGATGTACATTTCAGCTATTAGGCGTGTTTTTTTTCTTTTGAAAAAGCCTGGAGTTCTTCTGCTGGTATTTGGAACTGTTCATAATTCCTTTCATTTTGACTAAGGCTCCAGATCCACCTGGAAAAAAAAAAATCAAACAAGGGAGCAAAGAGCAAAATTCTGTCACAGTCACGACACATCTGCCTTGATAAGCTCTGCCTCGCTGACAGCCTGGTGTTGAATAATTCGCTTGCCTTGCTCACGACTCATGTCTCAATTGTTTGATGTTGTTGACTTTGTTTCACTGCGCTCTTGTTCACGTTTTGTATTCTCGGTGTAAGTATTGTTCTTATTTGTATTCATTTCTCAAAATTGGATCTCATTGTCTTTTTTTGACAAGCGATGGTCGTCATTTAGTCCTCCTTGCCTTTATCAAGCGATTTGTATTTCTCTCGTGTTATCCTGGCACTTTTCTTTTTTTAAACCACTGACCTTGGTTGTACTTTGTCGGTACAGGTATTGCGTTTTCTGTAATTTAACCTTTAACCCATGTCTACGTTTGTGGGATCCTCTTTGCTCTGGAACAATCCAAAACTTGACAGTGGGAAATGTGTCATAATCTGATGAAACCAAGGTTGAACAGTTCATAATTCACTCCATGATAAAAATGATTTATCAACTGTTTCAAATATCAGTGAAGAGTTTGCACATAAACTTCAGACTTCTACAAAGAAAATAAATGTCATAAAAAGCAAATACGGCATCTGAAATCTATTTGGGTTTAATCAGAGGTACTTTTAAATGGTGCCTAATGTGCTCTGATGAGTTTGAATGTGATTGATTGATTCTGAACACAGCCACATTTCTGGTTGTAAGTTACGATCATGGGGGGAAAAAACATTTTAGAAATAATTTATGTGTGTGTGTGTGTGTGTGTGTGAGTGAGTGAGTGAGTGCGTGCGTATGTGTGTGTGTATTAAGTCACTCTTCAGGTGTCTGTGTGACAGTGTGTGAGGGTCAGGATTAGAGATGTGGTGAAGAGAGACATACTATCCCGTCCAGCTGATTGGTGTCTGTGTCTTCTGGAGGATGCGGAGTGTTTGCCATCTTCTGTGCTAAATGACGAGAGCCATACAAAGAGTCTAAAGGCGTCCAATGGTAGAGAGCTTCCTCTCCATCGAAGAAAATCAATTGTAAAGTCAGGTTGGGGAAGGAGGCCTGCAGTACAAGGGGGTGGGGGTGGGGGACAAAGTGTCAGCACAATTATTTACAGCACCACTTAAGATTCTAAACGGTTTGCTGCCGTCTAGTGGAGGTATTTTTTCTCTTTTTCCCCTAAAAAACAAAACAGAGCAAAAAACAAACAAACTCTGTACGGTATTGTTGCTGCTGTTTAACATGATACGCCTAAACCCCATTAACAAATTGCTCACTAAATAGATTCTCATCTACTAAGAAGGATGGATTTTATTGGCATTTGTTTGTTGAATATTGTTGGATGTTGAATATTACGTAATTGTAAATGATACTTTTTTTTTAATCAGAACAATTAGATAATTTCAATTGGGTTTGTTTTGTCTTGATACAGGCTTCGTACTATTTTAGCTTGCCACCCACTCCCAAATATAAGAAATAATCATCTCTTTTATGCTTTTATAGGTATTTCTGGTGTCAGGCCGGAACCTTGTATGTCAGAATTTAGATTTTTTTTTTCACATATTATTATTTATTTTTTTTTTTTACCAAATTAAAAAGTTGTCAATGGCTTGCTCTCTTTGAAGATGCAATGTTCATCATTGACTAAACTTAACAGTTTTTCTGGTCCCCTAAAAAGTGCTGATTTTGGCAGTGCACGGATTCTGCCCAACGCCAGCAATGTGAACCCTTGAAGCAAATTTATTTGCATTCAACTGAATTTCATTTCCCCTTGGGGCTTTTTGATGGATGTCTGAACCCGCGAAACACACACTTTGGCTCATCTCTGGCTGTCACCAACCCTGTCCCTGTCCGTCTATCCACTGGAAAGATGTCTTGGTGAAGCAAAGGGCAAAGGAGTAGGCAGCGTGAATGTTAAGTGTGTTCTTTATCAGAGCTGTGGTTTGATCACATACTGTAAAAAGTGGCTCGCATGTATTCATTCCCCTTCAACTTTTCTGAAATTTTTTTCACCTAAAAAAACACAACCACACAACATTAAGGTACAGTATATTGACATTTCATATTGATAGACCGGGGATGGGATTGGGAAATTTATATGATAGATGGGGCCACATAGGACCACGCACTTCCTCACCAGGTGAATGACAAAATGACTATTTGAAGTATGTACAAGATTTGCGTGTACATACAAAATATGTGCTCTTAATGTAATTCCTTTTTCAAGAAATACTTCTCAATACATTTTTAAAAGAGCTGCAACTGTAACCCAACAACCAACGGTTTGAAGCAAACAACGAAATAACCACATACTGTTGATTTTCTTTCCAGTGCAAATGACTTTTTTGCATAAGAATTAACATTCAAAGAAGGCACAAAACTGCTGAACAGCAAATCAACATTACGTGTAAGAACACATTTTGTGTATTTTTTTTCCACAAATGTCTCAAAATGTTGATATTATTGAGGTACCATGTTTGTCCTGTTTGTCCTTATATATAGTTCCCAGATCTTTTTTTATGTTCTCACTTTAAGCTGCATACCGTACCGTTTGATTTTTCAGCTCTTCATCGAGGGCTCGTGCCAGCTCCAGTATCATGGCGCAGGGCACAGCAGAATCGGTGGCGCCAAGAAACTCCTGTTGTTGGTAATACTTGGAATCGAAGTGACAGGCCAGGACAAGGCGGCGCTTGGCTAATGGGTTGAGGGTGGCAATGAGGTTGGTGAAGGGTAATGGTCCGTAAGGCGTCTGTGACCTGAAACTATCCTCCGTCACTTCCCAGCCTGCTCCAAGAGAACCCAGGGTTGATTTAATATGCTGAAAAAAAAAAAAAAATCTGTTCGAATAGTCACTCTTAGCTGCATTGATTATTTTCATTGTTTTTCTGTGTAGTCTACTTATGATACATGTTTACATGTTTTGCCCCTTTTACTGAACACTACCTGAAATATAATACCTTACAATACAGGACATCTTTGTTCATATAGTGCTTTCCAAACAGCTGCAGCTGCATCTTATAGTCAAATGCAGTCCTGAGGTGCAGTAGAACCACTACTGATTCGGTTCTTGAGGCATCACTGTCCAGACCTAAGACTATGATGCCATTGTTGTCATAGCTTTGATGATCAAACTCACCTGCTGCACCGCCTGGCTGCCTGGGGAGCTTGGATACCTGGTCACGAGCAATGGCCTTAGGTCCCTTTGCCACATTTGTGTCAGGTCTGTGTGTGACAGGGCCGCCTGGATCTCACTGGATGTAAGTGTGACCGCTCGGTGCTCTAACTGAACAAAAGCAGAGTGTTTTTGCTTATGTTAATTTTGTCTTTTCAGCATGTCAGTCACCCTCAGTCCTTTCTTGATTGATTAATATCTTGTTTGTAAAACAATGCAGTCAAAGTTTGCCCTGGCACTGCTGCCTCTGGTTTCAAAATGGAATTACCGGTACATATAAACGAAGATGAAAAGTGTGGGGATACTCAGTAAGTGGAGGCCAGCGCATATCCAGCACACACACGCACACATGCAGACACACACTGGTACAGATTTGAAGTTTGAAACCCCATATATGTATTCTTTCTTGTGGTTTTTTTGTGGTCAGAATAAAATGAATAAATAAATGAAAGTCTTAAGCCCTGATACGTTTGTTTTGGATTCAGGGACAGGGGCCATGTTCTATTTTATTGAAGTAATCATTTTATTTTAGGTCAAAATGCAAATTACATTTTATTTTACTCAGCATTTTTTGTTGCTATCTTGAATGAAAAGGACATAATTGTTTGAAATAGTGAAGATTACAGTACTGCATGTGGCTTGTGACATCACCACACTCGATAAATGGACCTTGGGCTCACTGAAAATGTTATTTGTAGCCCTGTAGGATTTGTACATGAGTACCCTTGATATACAGCATATTCACTCCAGCCAAAAGTACCAGAACGAAAATACGATGAGTCACTGCTACAAACACAGACTGCACACTTCAAAAACCTGTTGATCACACAATTGGAAATGATTAAGAGTAAGTACTCACTACGCAGCAAAAAAGCCAATTAGAGTGGATGCGTGCAAGAGAGCAGTCGTGTGGAAAGGTCATTGCCTTCTCACATAGCAAAATCTGGTAACCAAAATAGTAGAAACAAGTGTAAATGATTTCTCACGGAGGCATGCAAACCCCACTTCTATAATTCTAATATTAGTAAACACAGGTTAAACTGTAGCTTCCTAGCTGTGTGAATCAAAACTTAATAGGGCAATCTCTTTGCATTGTGCAGTTGTACCCTGTGGCTGTTGACTGCTTGACTGACTAAAAAAGAAAGCTCATCAGTATCCGTGCAAGTTTGTTCTGTGAGTGCTCACTGCAATCATGGGTAGGGAAAACATATTGATCGTCTGATTCCACTTGGAGTTTGTCTCAAAGTTCAGGCTGAAGAGAAACATGGTTGTCTTGGAAACAGACGTTAAAAACTGAGCAAGCCAAAGACACTCCATCTGTTTTAGACTGATTCGCCTTCGACAGTATTCCCCCAGTCATATTTATTATTCATAATGCAGTAGAAATTAGATTATTTTCTCACTAATAGCTGGAACGGAAAACGCCTAATACGAAGTTAAGAGTAATGGCTCACTTTCTTCCCATTTGCAAGGTCAAACGTTGCAAAAAAAAAGTCTAAACACAAAAATCACCAACATATACAATCATATTTCATCTTGTACACAAATAAAATTCCTGCAAGGATATCGGTTGTGTACAACTAGTGCTTTTTTTGTTAAATAGTGTGCTGTGATATTTTTCTCATGTAAAAATCATGACTTAATTGGCTCAATTGAGGCTGGGAAACCCCGTATAAACACTCCCTGAAATTGGGTGGCATCCATCCATCCATTTATTTTATCTGCTTATCCTTCTGAGGGTCACCTGTGTGCTCATGCCCATCCCAGCTGTCTACGGGCAGCAGGCGGGGGACACCCTAAACCGGTTGCCAGCCAATCACAGGGCACACATAGTTGAACAACCATCTGCACTCACAATCACACCTACACACAATTTAGAATGTTCCATTAACCTGCCATGCATGTTTTTGGAATATGGGAGGAAACCGGAGTACCCAGAGAAAACCTACACAGGCATGGGGGGTCGGGGCAGGCAAACTCCACACAGAAAGGCCGGGGTCTGGAATCGAATCCTGCACCTCTGCACTGTGAGGTGGACGTGTTAACCAGTCATCACTGTGCCGCCCTGATAGCGTGACATGCACAGCAGAATTTGTTCCTCATAGTTTGATCTCCAAAGGTGTAGGTTCTTTCCTAGATATGTCCCAAAATTGCCTTTGGTTTTATAATTACACCATAGCATACAGTGCAATGTACAGTATTATTATGTGGTTGCACACACAACAACATGGCCCTGCAAAGGACTTACTGAACCCTGAGAAGGGTTAAGGTGGGGTCCATTTCAGATCTATAAATACCAAGCCCTGCAATTGGAAGATCAAAGATGATGACAGTGCTGCCATAGCAACAACATGCAGGCTAAAACCACAAGAAAAATGAGAAGCAGGAATGTTGAAGCATAATCAGGTAGGCCATGTTTTGCTTTAATGTTAAACGCTCCGGTGACGACTTGTTAGCCACTCCTTTTTAACATACTTCTACAGCTTTTTAGATTAACTATAACACCACTCTCAAATAAGGATGTGATTTTAAAGCCAGCGTGGCTCTTCTAAGTACATTTATTGTTACTGTATTATTTATATTATTATTATTATATTAACATAGGGCTATATTGAGTTTCAACTATTATACAAAACATTTTGAAAATTAAACTAATAAATAAAATAAGGTGTCATTCTGAAGGGACTCAGAAGAGCCACACTAGCTTTAAAATCACCACTATATTTGAGAGTGATGTTATAGTTAATCTAAAAGGAATTGTTTCCAAATACTATACTATGAGGTTGATGATTTAACATTGATACAAAAAACACTGAATGACTCCAGTAAACAATCACTGCATTTGAGTGTCGTTCTAACAGTGGATTTAATTAGCTTACCTTTTCTTGTGTCCAGGGAATTCCATTCGAGCAGTGGATGAATGTAACCCAGATGGCAACAGTGGCAAAAAAAGGCAGAACTGAAGGACCGTGGTCCCACACGGCCATCTTTTCTGAGGCTCTTTCCCTCTCTGCCTCACACACTTCAGATCATGTGAAAGGCAGCAGGGAGCGCTCACAATTATCTAGTGTGCGCGTGCGTGTGCGCGCGCGCGCGCGTGGCGTTTGTGCGTGCGCGTGTGTGTGTGTGTGCGCGTGTGTGTGCGTGTGTGTCTGTGTGTGCGTGTGTGTGTGCGTGTGTGTGTGTGCGTGTGTGTCTGTGTGTGTGTGTGTGTGTGTGTGCGTGTGTGTGTGCGTGTGTACGTGTGTGCACGCAAGCGCTCTGTACGTGTGGAATTGACCAATAGAGATTGTTTCCCTATTCTCGTATCCCTTCCACAACTGATGAAATATCAGAACTCGGCGTACTTTGACTTCCATTCCCCACTTTGTGAAATACATCATTTTTCTTTTCTTTTTGTGTGTAGTTATTTAATGTGAAAACAAACCATACAATTATTATCAGTTATTTCTCAGAGGATGTACATATAAACAAAGACAAAAGGAAAAACAAGTACATGTACTTTATACCTCGGGGAAAAAAAAAAGCTGTGACTGAAAAAATAGAAACGGCAAAACTACCACGTGGTGTCATAACCACGTGACGAAACAGGAAATGTGCTTCTTGCGCTTGCTCACACATTGCATTGTTGTCGTCTGTCGCTAAAACATTTGACGTATAAATTATGGAAGTTACATCAGCGATGGCTGATGAAGTGGATTACTTGAAGACACAGCTAGGAGAGAAAGAGAAAGAGATTGCTGCTCTGAAGACTAAACTGGCCGCATTCGAAAAGGTACACAGGAGTGTGTCTTGGTGACTGTCAACCAGACGTTCAGTAAAGTTTTATTGCAATATTAGTCGTCAGAAAATCTTTGCAAACACCGCTAATTCACTTTCTAATGTGGGACTATCTACAGTAGTTACATGATCTGTCTCGGTACATATCCGTCAATGTATCGGCGCATCTCAATAAATCTGAATGTAATGGAAATCATCCTTTCTTTCAGGAGATTATTTCAATTCAAAATCCGGAACTCGTTTTGATTCTGTAAACACATAATTTTGAAGATGGGTTAAAGAAAACGAAAATCCAGAGTGCACAATCTCAGGAAATTTAGACATTAGAAACAATAAAACATATTTTAATATAGAAATTAGGAAGGAATTGGCCACCTGAAAAAAAATTCTCTGTTCAACGAGTCTGCACAATAAAAATAGCACATAAAGGATGGGAATTACTATTTATTGGTTTGTTAAAATATTAATTGGTTGACACGCTGCATCTTTTCAAAAAAAGTGCCCCATTGTAAAGCCTGTTTGTTTGCCTTTTAAGTGGTGCCACATTTGTCAAGAACATGCATTTGTGGCACGACCAGCGGAGCTAAGTACACTATCTGGTTTGCAGCCATGAAAAAACAGCCAAATATTCTCTGCCACTGCCAAACATCTTATTTTGCGGTTGTTGTTGACTCTTGTTTGGGCTTCTTGGGCCCTGCTACAGTGTTCAGTAGGTATGTGCTTTAAGACTCGACATGCTGCATTTGAATGATCTGCATAGAAAAACCTTAAGTTGGTGTTCCAAAAAAACCTTCTTGTGGCATTATTCCTTTATCCTTGTCAGCACTTATGTACTGTAACCCGTCTTCACAACAGATGTGCAGTCAAGGTTTTCAGGCTGGTGGCTCTCCGACAAGGCCAGGGGCGTCACTAGGTTTCAAGAACAAGGGGGGCTTAGCCCCAAGGGGAACACAGCCCCTTTAGGGGGGTCCGGGGGCATGCCCCCCCGGGAGAAATTTTTTCTACATTCTGTTAAAAATCCATCAATTCCGTGCACTTTGAGAGCAAAATGAAGAGGCTATGAAGAACTACACACATCACATTAGTATCCTCTTTACTATGATGGGGCTTCCTCCCCTGGACTTTAACTGGACTAGATAATAGAAATTATAAAGAGTTCAAAAGTTCAATCTTGGTTGTTCAAGGGAATTAGAAGGATGCCCGATAACATAACCTATATGACAGTCGGCCTATATTCCTCTCTACCAAAATGTATTAATATATGCTTAGCCCCCAGAAGACTATGTATTTTGAGATGTCTGCCGTGATATGCAATTTAAGTTAGTACAATGAGATGCAAAAGCTTCATCACTTTGGAAAAACACAAGTTTGCTGCTCAATACTTACTGTAAGCTCCGATTGCATTTTGGGAACAGCCTTGCAAGTAAAATTAGCCTTGAGATCTGATAGACTCACCTGTCCAGCAGAGCCCACCCCCCGCTCACTCTCTGTGCGTCTTTAGCCTGATTCCTATCAAATAAATACATTTATTTATTTTATATTT